TTTTAGGTATAGAGGTTTAGGTGATTTCTTGGACGGCCTTTGACATGGACTGGAATTGGTCATCCATGGTGGTGTCATGTCAAATTGGTTTTCTTAGATCATTATATCAAATTACTATTAAGTTATAATTAAAAATTTCCTACAAAAATGTTATAATGTCTAACATTATTATATCTAGCACGAACATAATACAAATAACGCTTTAATATAAGCATCTTTCACAATATTATATAACATTTTTGTAGTAAATTTTTGTCGGGTTTTAAATGTATGTTTATTTATGTGTATATATAAAAATTTTGATAAGATTATAAATAGAAATAAAAATCATATAATTTTAATTTGGTATGAATATTTAAATATGTACTAACAATTTATGAAGTGAATAATTAGGACTAACGAGTGAACATTTTGAGAAACATTTAGAAAGAATATCTCAACAACCACTTAAACTATTTCTTTTTTTACTTAAAACAGGTATAAAACAATTACCTATCAAGAATAATATATAAAAAAATGAACTAAATAAAGCCTCACTGTATTTCAATATTTTATTAGGCTAAATACTATATTTGCTAGACAAAGCCTATGATCTTGCAATAATCTAATTATTTTCTAAGGTGTGAGCAGTTTTTTGAAGCTTTACCCTCTAAACTAATATGACATTGAGAATCCAAAGAACAATGAAGGATTAAAATGGAGAAGGAAAAATACCAAAATGTGGACCATGGAACCCTAGGTGTGTACATAATTGAACATTATGTTATAGATGTTTCTCACAATTATGGAGTAAAGGTGAAGCTAGGCTCATATCTTTATATTAAGCTTTGGTGGATGGAAATGAATTGCCAGTTGGGTTTCCATAAAAACTTCACCAAGTTTCTCCAGCTAAGGTTCAGGGCCTACATTTGATCATAATTTCTGGTTGAGGCATTACTTATTTGGTGCATGACCTTATTCATTGGTGCAATAGATTGTGTTGCAGAAGACAGCTGAATTACTGCTGACAAAGGCTGCAAAAAGGTGTTCTAAGGCTGAGGTTTGGTCTATAAATTTAGTGAATGGAAATTACATATAAAAATGTATGGAACCTACCAAAAATTTGGTTTTATGCTTGTCATCATTAATTCCTAGGCTGGTTTATAGGCTGTAAACAGTGGTAAAATGAGCAGTGTGGCCATTGCCAGTCTAGCTTCAAGTAATGGAAAACCACCGAAAAGGAAGGCTGTAAAGTCTGACCTACCATATAGAATCCCACTTGATGCTCACCAAGTTTAAGCCAGCTCATATATTTTTGAAATTTTCCTCCTAATTCAGCTTCATTATGCTTGTCTTAGGCCCCTTAAGAGTAATAAATCATCTATCTTTTCTTTTCTTTTCATATTAGTGGAAAAAGGTAATTTTTCTTTTGACTAAAACCCTAAAATAACTCTTTAATTTTACTCATTTTTTTAACAAAGTTTCTTATTTTTTATTATATTTAGATAATTTTTTATAATTTATTTTGAATCAAATAAGTTTTTTTTAATAAAAAATTAATCATGGCTCAATTCAATTGATTTTTTTAATAGATATATATATATATATATTTGAAGGTATATCCGATATTTATTCAACATAGTTAATTCAGGAAAAAGAAAAGGGAACAAAAAAGCAGAGTCAGGGTAAACTAATCCACCAAGACTTTAGCTGCTTGAATCCTGGGTGTCATATTTAAAATAAATGCCATCACCTCAAAAAAGTTGTTTGTAGATCCTCATTGCCAAATTCAGTAGGAAGAGAAAGAGTTACTTTCATTTTTGACCTGGCTGGACTAGGTACTGTTAGTCAACCAGTAGTAGATTTATAATTCAGTATTGCAATTGCATCATCTTCTGCAAGTTGTGCTGAATAATTAATGTCCTTATTATAAAAATGGAGATCCTAAATGATTGATTATGTTAGTGAAGAGTTGACTAAGCCACTGAAATGCTCCATCCAAATGGGACAAGTAAACTTACTGTCAGCCAATTTAATCACAACTAGTCATTTCTTTAAGAAACACTGTGTGCCTGCAACCCTCTTATCTGTCTATGAGCTGGTGTCTGGTTCGTGCCGGTTTATGCTTGAGAGAAAAAACTACATTAGATCTAGCTAACCCCTTCAATCATGCCTTTGCATACGCTGCAATGGACTGAGAAGTCAATGGCCAGCTTTCATATTATTCCCTTTTGTGCCTACCTTTTGGCAAGCCTAAGGGCGGCATCAGCCACACATGTTGCCATGTTGCTTAAGGCCAAGGCTTTGGAAGGGGACTTGGTTCAGAGTGTCAGGGACCTTGTTTGATTGTTGAAAAAATGATTGGACCAGAAGAAAAGTTAAACTTCTGTCGAACCAGATGATAGAGATGGTTTCAATAATAGGTAGGTGTATCTCTTGGTATACTGATTAGCACAATCTTATGTGAAATGTTTTTGTTGTAGATGGATAATACTAACAGATATGATGAATATGGATCAAACGTGTGATCCAATGCTTGGCTGAAAGAACAAAACAAAAAATAAAAACGCGTGATCCATGATGATTCAATCACTATGATTAGCACGAGCAGTATTATACTTAAGCCGAGCAGGTAGGAATTAAACTTTAACATGACTAACAGGTGATGAGAGACTCACTTTGGTTGGTGTGGAATGTAATTCCTCTCTAATCTGGCATGAGTTGATGAAAGTTTGAATAACTTTAATGAACAGCTCCCTTAGCCCCGTAACAAAAGAGGCCTTAAACCTATTTAGCTGCCAAATAATTTGGCATAACTCGTTTTCTTCTATTAATCAGTTCTTGCTGATTCTCTTTCCAGTTCTCTTGAGCTTCAAGGAATTCCCAAGTTTCCATTGTTTGCAATTAAGTTAGCTTCATTTATCTGTGAACATAAACTAATGGGGTTATATCTAAAGTCTACAAATTTGCACTACAAAAAGCAGTGGCCAAAATTTAGGCAGCTACCTAATCACCAGACTTGATAGTAACCATTTTATATTTCTCATCCCTGGCATTCTGAAATACCAACATTCTTTTGCCCCTGCAGGCTGCAGTAACAATCTGCAGCATGCTCTCTGGTAATCTTCAGATTTGACAGGGGTGATTTTGATTTTTGAAACAATCTTGGAGAAAGAAGCCAATGTTCTTGCAGTGCTCTTTACTTTGGTACCTAGCGAAAGTTTTATATCTTACCATTGATTTTCTGTTCTGGACTCTGAGGCCTAGTTTAGTAGAAACAAGAAGGGCATATTCCATGGCTCCTTATTTTGTTTTTGCTATCAGATTTCAAAAATGAACCTAGGGTTAAATGAGGCCAGATATACTTACAAAGGCACAGTTCACTGTATTTTTAAAATTCATCAAGCAGTTTTGGATATTTAAGGCCATAATTCCCACATCAACTGACTAAACATGTGAATGGTTAAAGCTAAATTGATACATGTAGGGACAGAAACTTCAAACATGTGATCCATGATGATTTGATCACAGTGATTAGTATTGACAACAATGTCATACATGAGCACTATACTGCCTAACATATCAGAGTTGGTTTTGTTTTCTGTTGTGAACAGATTGCCTAATTAACAACTTGGGTCACAAATTGGTTTGAAAAAGATCCATTAGACTTTCAGGTATGCAACATTTTTAACTTGTGAAAAAGTTGGAAGAAGATTGAGAAATGTCATTATGTGATAAAGTACATCTCTTTATCAAGAAAATTTTTTAATTGCTTGGATCTGAAGGTCATATGCTTCAGTCTAAGTTATAGTTTTTACAAATTAGGAAAATTACAGGAAAAGAGTAGGAGATGCACACCTCACCCTGGAGAAGGAAAGGACAATCAAAGAACAAAATGAAAGAGTAGGAATAGGCTTTTACTTCATATTCATTCCAACAGATACTTCTGGTCAAGTCTGTCTTATTATATATCTTGAGATAAAAAGGAATTCGATATATGTGCTGGAAGACAAATTTGGCCAATAAAATAAGAACCAACTGCTCTCATATCTCTTTCAATGAGATTAATACTAACTTCAGTAGGTAACTTCACTAGGGATAAAACTGTAAAAGGGGCATTCCGAGAATAGAACTCAGGGACCTCTCGCACCCAAAGCGAGAATCATACCACTAGACCAAATGCCCATTACAACCTGGTTATGTCTACTTAGCAGGGGTTAGTAACGGCTACCACTATATCACCTTTGTCTGGAGATGCTCTCTTGGCTCTTGCAAACATTTTAACAAGATAGGGCATCAAACCTCTTTAGCCACTCAGCACTTATCTTTTCAAGCTACAAAGTTTGCTAAGGAGCATCACTTATTTCTCATAGTGGCATTTTGGGAACATTCTTTTGTCATGCAGTAAATATCTGCAGCCTGATCTCTTCATAGTCCTTAGCTTTGACATGGAACAATTTTTCAGAAAAAATGACTAACTCTATTCCAGCAAGGCCCTTTTTCTTTAAAATTTTATGACTATGTCCCTAAACCTTGGTACTTTATCTAATGCACTTGGTTCAATGCTATGGTATACCAAAGAAGATACTGATGGAAGTAAACTAAGGGCATGTCAGAATGCAGAGTTGGCAAGATTGAGATCATTTTGGCAGGCACCAAGCATCAGTACTGATTTTGCAATTTTAGCTCAATTCTTGTTGGACAACAAGCAAATTGTAGGTAATATGTCCTAATGGAACATTTTTTCTTATTTTCTCCATGAAAATTTTGTCAGCTGAACCACAAACTTTCCAGGCTTAGGACCAAATTTTTGTTTCTACCATTAGGTTTTGTATGCTCAATGAAATGAAACAAAAAAGATGGATTCTCAATCATATATATTACTATCAACTGATTTTGGGCATTGAAGATGATTATGTCCCAATTGCTAGATCATAGTTCAAAAGGGTTAACATATCAGCTGACTGAAAAACAAAGAAAGAAAACTAGAGAGAAAACAAGCCAATGAAATAGGCCATCATGTTCCCAAAGATGCATCTGACATCCAAGTTTAAGTCAACTTAATCATTCGCCAGGAAAAGACTATAAACTGCCAATAAAAAGTATAATATGACAACACATGAGGGGTCTGCAGATGCACATTATAATCAGGACCCAGCAGGATATGCCCCAGCACAGACTAACTACACTTGAATCCTTTTGTTTTAAGTTCATAAGTATTAAATATAGAAAGTCAGAGAAAACATGTGAAGGATTAGTTTTAAATTGATATGGATAGGAATGAAAACAACAAACATGTGATCCATGATGATTTTGGTCATGATCCTAACTAACATGTGATGTGATGAGATGCTGTGTTTTCCCTTTGTGAATTCCAAATGCTAATTAACAACTTTGGATGTGATTTTCGTGATAAAATACATCTCTGTCAAGACAAAGTTGTAGGTGCTTGCATCCGAGGAGCAGGCCTTTAGTAAATTTCTAGTTTTAAGAAAGAAAGAACATTGCAATGAGGGAACATAGACAAGAAAGAGCAGGGTGTACACACCTTTCACTGGACAAAGGAAAGACAATTTCAAAGCAAAAAGACAGATTAGGAATAGACATGTCCCATAGTCATTCTAACAGATCCTTCTTGCCAGGATTGTCTTATTATTATTATATCAAAAGCCTCATATAAGAGGGGCATTCCGAGAATCGAACTCGGGACCTCTCGCACCCAAAGCGAGAATTATACCACTAGACCAAATGCCCATTATATTCTCATAATAGCACTATAGTAGTCTCCCTGACTAGATCAGCAATCTGAGTTTTATCAATCAAATATTAACTGGTGCTGTTGAAGGTGCCAACTTTTAGATTTAACATGGATGGTTAGGAAACAATGTCGAAGAGAAGTAACTAATTTTGTTCCAGCAAGGGCCTTTTTTCTTTCAAATTTCATGTGAATGCCCCTAAATCTTGGTATCTAGTTGAAGTCTTATGTATTACAGCTAATTTGATTGCACTTGTTCCAGTACCATAGAATACCAAAGAGGGCACTGATGGATGAAAACTACGGATGTGTAATTGGCGAGAATAAAATGCAGTAAGATAACCATGTCAGGCCTCACTTAGCAGGAAGCAATCACTGATGTTGTCTATAGACCTGGCAAGCCTAACTCAAGTCTTGTTGGACTTCGACAACATGTAGGTAACATGTCTTGTTAGCCGAGTTGCTGCCTGAGCTTTCATGAAAATTGTCCATATACACTTTGCCACATGAAAATTTTTTTTTGCTGGATTTCAGGTTTGGCACCAGGCTTGTAAACATAACACCAGGTCCAAAGTTGACTACATAAGAGTCTCAAGATATAGACCTGGCCTTAGTTGATGGTCATATGAAATAGAAATTGACTGTTCTTGGTATTATATTGAATGATTATCCTACATCTTATAATTACTAAACTGATAGCAAGTAATTCTCCTAATAGACAAGCAAATATCTGTCTCTCTTAATTTTTTTATGCCATTAGATTTCATATGCTCATTAAATCTATGCAGTTTAAGCTCTGTAATGAAGGAGTTTGTGCTGATCAAGAATTTAAGGTAATTATTTTGATATGCAAATTTCACCAAGCAGTATGCTTTTGGAATTCAAGCATTTATATTTTCAAACATAGATTTATATCACAAGGTAGATGTAAGTCCAGAAAGATAGAATTATGTCTGATTAAACACAGAGAGCACACCAAATATTGACCATAAAAATAGATGAAAAAGCGGAAGTCAGGAAACTTGAGAAGAAAGAAATCCAATTAACAAGCTACATTGTACCAGAATTTGCCCCCACTTTTTCTGTAGAATGCAAAGGAAATGGAATAGCAAAGGATACCAGCCAAACAGCTGCAGCTAATGATTCATTCTCATATCATGCTCTCTGTTCTTGCAGGCAACCTCCTGAAGAAGTTTTGCGGCAGTGATGGAATGCTGATTCGGAATTTTGGATGCCTCATAGTGAAAAAGCCCACTCCAAGTGCAAATAAGCGCCAAGGAATGAAATAGAAACCCATACTAGCCAACATACAAAAAGTTAGAAACATAGGTGTGGCTCTGGGATCTCTCCAGCTTAGCATAGAATTAAGCCTCTCTGCTTGAGTTGCCAGGTCCCCAATTATTGTCATCATCCTCCCTGCAATGCTTCTCAAGCGATCATATCTCTTTTTAAGAACTTCACCATTCTTAGAAGTTGGAAATGTATCAAACTCTTCATCTAATTCATCAGAGTGGGCCGAATCTATTAGAGACAATTTGGTGTCCATATGAGGAGGATGTCTTGGCCTTTTCCTGTACTGAGAAGCTCCATGCCCAATACACATAAGAAAAAATAGGGGTAAAATCAGATTAGGGAAAAGAACAAAGATCAAATATACAAAGTGAACCACCATTGTAGAAATGGGATTCTTCCATTTGCATATGTGATCAAACCATTTCCAAGCCTCAACAAGTAAATTACAAGTAGCTAGGAGTCTTTCAACATTAGCTCTGCCCCGTCTTAAGCTCCATACATTGGAGCCCACATCCAGCATATACTCCACAACTTCTCTCCTTAATGGTGGTTCAGCGCGGCTCAACCTCAAGGACAGAGTCTGCGTAGCTTGGTGCCTTAAACTCTCAACTTGATACACTGATAATGGGAGAAGATAATGCATTTGGGGGAACAAAGGGTGTGTATAAGATTGAAACAAATTCCATGTAGACGAGCAAGTAAATCTCACTGCCAACTGAATTTCACCCATCTTCTTCACTCCATTGGGTTGTAAAACTGTTAGTGGATAAGAATGTGTATAAATCCTATCAGCATTAAGTGTAGACAGTCGAATCCTAACCTTCCCAATTCTTGGATCCTTTGAACCTCCTGCATCGCTGCCTTCTTGCAAGTGACAGTTATCGAAAACTCCAATTGTAATGACTGTATAAGGATCATAAACTTCCCAAGTATACTGTTCATTCCACTTTGGAGCAAAACTATCAACAATTGTCCTTGTTCTTACCCACTTAGACCCATATTTGGCCACACAATAAGCATCAGTAGTTCCACGTCCATCTTTCGACTTCATTGGCAGCAAACCAGTTGCATTCAAGATTCCTAACTCCAAGACACCAATGGTAGGAGGCCACAACAATTTGGAAGTGGCCCTGAAATCACTACTGTAGTAAATGGACTCATCGAGAACATGATATCCGCCATCCAAACAGACCCTCAAATGGAGCCTGCTAGCAAACTTTACCTCCATATTGTTTTGATTATCCTGTACAACCTTCTCAAGATTATACCAGTTAGCATCTACAGGTATGGGCAGTAACCTCTTCTCCACTCTTGATAAATGAATCGTGCACATTCCAAGAATATGCTCCTTATTATTACCCAACTTATCCACCACACTCAAGATCAAGGGATCATCAAAAGGTTCTGCAACAACAAACATCAAATCCTCGTTCCAACTAGGGTTGATATTCTTATCAGGCGAAAATCTGCTCCTCAAAACCATATTCCCAAGCACAGCCTGGACGTAAACTTGGGGGTTCCTATTCCTACTTATAGGCACCAAGTCCTGCGCTTGAATTATATTAACTCTAAGATACCAAAGTCTAGGTGAAATATACACCTTTGAACGAGTATTTGCAATGCTTTCACCACTAACAGCTGCAGCATCTGAGTGCCAAGCATCGGGAAACACCTCATCAGCTTGAGTACCCATCCACATAGCTAACATCAATTCTCCTCTTCCACCCTTCCTTCCACCCTCATCCTCCAAACTATACCACTGCGGCGCCAGGGGACTATCTGGGGGAACACGGCTAGGAACGTCTGCTATATCAAAAGCGAGTTTCCCAACAACTTCATCATTGATAGTCTCCCTGTTCCTTACAGTTACCTCCACAGTGACAGCCTGAATACGATCTTTTGAGAAAGCGAAAACTTGATTCCACTCAGGGTCATGATCCATCTTAAAGTACTTAGTTGTGCCTTTGTAATTACCAATCTTTACTTCAACAAAAGGGTTACGTGTCCCTGGCAAATCTCTAACCCTTACCACTCTTACATACAAAAAATGCATTTGCTCAACAAGGTCGAATGATGACGTGAGCTTTTCACTGCCGGAGACTCTTCCTCCACCAATATTTGGTGAAGTCTCCTTCAATGAAAAGTCTACATTTGCTTGCGGCATTGTGCAGATTATCTGCATGAAATGTTTCATATAATTAAAAGATAAATAAAATTAATGTTAAAAGAAAACATTTGTAAATGCTAGAAAGCACAGCAAAAACCACATGCAAATCACAATTATAATACATCGTTACATTAATTCTTGTACACTCTATGGTGCATATACAAATTCATTTTCCAAATATATGCTAAAAACTGATCAAATATTATATAAACTAAAAAATAAAAAAAGAGACTATTGCTTGCCTGATTGAGACTTGAAGAATGAGATGAAAACTACTATGTTTCTGTTCTGGTTTAGGAGTGCTAGAAGAGGGTAACTAGGAAAACTTTCAAGGGAAAACAGAAGGCAAGAGACGGAGGGGAAATCAAGAGACGATAACAGATTAATATCCTATTTAATGCCAAAATTTCAGTGTTCATATTAAAATTTGGTAAATAATCCTGATTACATGATTGCTTGATTTCGAATTTGAATGACTTTTAACGGAATATAAATTATTACCATTTATGTTACTTTTTTCTTTCCTTTGATAGACATTATATTTTACGTTTAAAATGGTTCTTTTTTTCTATGGAAATAATACAATAAGAGTCTATTCATTTTGATTGATAATAATTTATTTAATACACATTATTAGCTGGATTCATAAATCCGAATCAACGCAACCCTCTTACGTATTTGGTTGATTTTTTTCTTTCTATGCAAAGTAACTATTATCATTCATTAAATGGGAAAGTAGAGGAAAATTATCCCATTTTCACTCTTTCTTTTATCTTTAATACGATAGGAGTAAATTTAATTCCATTGGTTTCGAGTTTTAATCAATTATAATTGAATTGGTGCATTAATTGATTTTTTTATTTGGATTTTGAGAAATTAATTTATATTTTTATTCAAAATAAAATAAACATTTTAATATATATGTATATATATATATCAAATATCAATTTATATTTTTTTGGATTTAAAAATAAAGAATTTAAGATGAGAAATATTACATCAATTAATTATTGACTCAAATAGTTATAATATTTTTTTAAAAAAATTAAACCATTTAAATAAAATTAAATAAATTATTATTTTTTATTATGCTTAACAAGAATTTATATTTTTATTTTAAATTAAATATATTTTCGTAATTAAGAATCGATTGATTATTATTAATTAAAATATCACTTGTCATTTTTTATATTTAAATAGTGTTTATATTTTGTTTGAAAAGTCACATAGTACTAATATAAAGATAAAAAATATTTTAAAATTATATTATTATGTCACATAATTATATCATATAATTGTTTATTATGACATGTTATTATTATGAGATATAATGTTATTATATTAAAACAATTGATTCAAAATTAATTATAAAATTTTACTTGATTTAAAATAAAAATATAAAAATTTAATTAAATATAGTAAAAATAAAAATTTATTTAAAAATTTTTAAATAATTAAACAGTTTTTTAAATATTATATCAAGTAAATATTTAAATACAAATTTATATAATTTTTTAATCACAAAACTAAATCATTAAATCAAATTGCGAGGGTTTTAAACATTGTTAAATTAGAAAACCAAGCGTGCAAAGGTAAATAACACACATTTAAAAACGGCCAAAAAACAATTTTTTAACGTAAATTAGGAAAAAAAGAGTGTAACATAAGTCCAAGCAGAACAAATTCAGACAAAAAAAATCTGTTACTTACGGGACTGCCATTTCTATGCTGTCTGAATCCGCTGCAAAGGGCGAAACGAAATCAGATTTTCGAAGCCCGTTGCAGACTGTAGCGTCTCTAGCTCTGTCTCTTTGTCTTTCTCCTTAGCTCCTAAGTAAAGTTTTCTTTTCCTTCATTTTCCACCACTTTCCGGGAAAATCATCCGGATCAGGTAAAATTATCTGCCCTCCGTTTCCTCCTTAGTCCTTATCCTCTTCTTCTTTATTGTCTAATAGAAAAGAAAATCAACCAAACAATCAAATGCATGCTGAGCTCTTTTTCATCAGTTTTCATACTCCGAAAATGTTGGAAAATAAAAAATAAAAAGTCACGCTCTGTCTTTTCGAACTCGTTTCCTTTCTAATATTTTGATATTTTGGCTTTGTTAGGTAAAACTCTCCGCTTCAGCTGAATCATTTCTTTTTCATTTCTTTAAATTCGAGGTTTTACTTCCTTTTCTTCTGAGCAACCACATAGGGTTCGTGAGAAATCGTAACTCTATTTCTTTCTTGTTAAAAAAAATCTTTGGTGTTTGTTTGATTTGTAAAGTGAAGTAGTTTTAAGGTAAGAGGATATTGAATTTGATATTTGAAAATTTTATCATCATTTTTTTATATTCTTTCTCGACATATACTTTTTATTTGCGTTTATTGATGTTTGAAATTTAAATTTATGTAACTAGTTAGAGCAAGAAGTTTCATTTGTTAAGTGAATTGAATGAATCAAAAGTAATTTATAAGCAGTTGTTCTTTGCAGATTTAATTACTCGAAAACGGATGGCAAATAAGGAAGATGAGGGTTTTTGTCATAGCCTTTCAAGGAAAGAGCTTCAAAGTTTGTGTAAGAAGTATGGTTTACCTGCTAATAGGTCAAGTTCGGAAATGGCTAAATCACTGACCTCGTTTCTAGAGGTAATGTATTGGAAAATTGGTAACTAAGAGTTATTGATCTGTAGCATATCATACTGCTTTTTGCTGTTACACAGCTATTGGATATGTCAACATACATTAGTTTGTAGTTTCATTCTGTTATACTTATGTACCTCACTATATTGTATTTGATCTGGTAAGTGTTATATGGCATATTTTATTTATAATTGATTTGCTGTAGTTTTAGAACTTTAGTAATATGACCTACTGTAGCAGGGGAAAAGGAAGCTTCGAGTTTCAAAGAAGAATGCAAGGAAAAATGGATAAAAAAGGATTGCAATAATTTTTCTATTGAATATGTTTAGGGTACTTATATTACCACTACTAAAATTGGGTCCAACTGGGAAAAGGAGATAGGAAAAAAGGGGAAAATAGAAAAGAATATATAAGAATTCGTAATTAAGATATGCCCAGGAAAGCATTTTAAATTCTACACTTGTTATTTTTTATTCCTGTTTTGTTTTTGTATTTTAATAATGCAAGAAAAATCGTAGAATTGGCATGCTCAAAATTTTTTAAAAAGCTCGACTAAGATAAATATGTCGCTAGCTAGCACAGTAAAGGACGAATTCAGCCAATGTCTAATTTAATTTGATAGCAAAGGGTATCTTTGCGGCATAAGTTGGCATCACCATTAATGAATGAGAAAGTATTTTAAGAAACAATGGCTCTAGCTGATGTGGTATTACATTCCATTTATAATTAGACACAGCATTCATAATAAGTGATGGGGTGTTTCTTTAACTATGGAAAGTGGTGATCTGATGGGAGAAAAGGAAAGTTATGATGATGAAATAACATGCCAATGTGGAAGAATTTCTTTTTGATGAAAATTTAGTTCATGTACCAAAATGAAGATTTTACGACAAGATTCTATTGAAATTGACATCTCTAGCAGTATTGCCTTGTTATTTCTACTGAATGAAAGTGCTGATGAGTATCTTAGGGTCTATTTGAGGAATTTCAACGATTCCATCTTTAAGGTTAAGCATAGTGGCCCCTACTAAATGACAATATCTTGCAGCCCCTATGAAGTCACTATATCTTGTCAGAGTCCGAGAAAAAAATACTAGGTTTACGTCATCTTATTTTTGGATGATCATTGTCTTTATATTAGGCTTTATTTGTCTTAATTCATGGCTGTTATGTTTTTTCTTATTGTTTGCTAAAGAAGTTTTTGGCTTCTGGTGAAATTATTTGTCTTTGCTAATAGACAACTCTCTTAGCATCTCTCATCTCAATCATGGTTCTCATATGTATCCACACCCAGACACACAGACTAATGATGTTTTGACTGCTTATTCGTTGCATGTTAAAGGCATGTGTCCATGGAGTTGATATTTCTATGCAGTATCACATCTACTAGGTTTCCTTGTGTTTTCTTCACCTCATTCATGGATTTGCGGAATTACCATCTTTAGTAATTTGCATCTGGAGTTTACATTATTTTCTTACAGTTGCAAACTTGGATGTAAATTGTTCTGGCCTACCACATGCTAAACAAGCTTTGATATTTCTTTATTCTTCACATGACTTGTGCATTTGCTAAAAGCAAGTTTCTCAGTATACATAAATGTGAAGATCTTGTTTATCCCATCATAAAATATCTTGGAAAAGAATATGCAGAACCAGAGATTGAGTTCAATAACTGCGGGGGAAAGGTTATATGGAACTCAAGAGGCTGGACTTCCTTTGTCCCTGAAACTACAACTGCAGCCTGGAGCATCATTAAACTCTTCCAGGGATGCTGGAAAAGGTGTACACTAATTACTGCTTGCCTAATAAGCTTGTGCTTAGTTTTCTCAAATTAATTTAGTACTATGATTTCCTTACTATAATAAATGCATTATATCATGAATAACATATGGTTGCTTCTGCAGATTGCTATGGACTCATCTCTTGTCCCCGAGACAGGTGTAATGGAGGGAATTATTCTCAAGCTGTTAAAAGTAATGAATTGGGTTGTTGCACAGGGAATAAATTTTATGACAAGGTTTGCTTCTTTTCATGGATGTGTATGTTTTCTGCATGGATATTTATTGACTTCTGATGCAGCCACTAAAATCCCATATGATTCCTCTCTTCTCCTTCCCTATCTCTCATTCTCCCATCTGCCATGTGTTAGGTTAATGGAGTTGTTCCTGATGAAAGATGCAGACCTTTTATCTCTCTGGAAGTGAGAAGATTTTCTCATGAACACCCCACTTTACAAAAAAAGAAAAAAAAAAGGAAAATACAATGGTGCAGTCTGTAGTATACTGGCTGACACTTTTTTCATTAATTCTATGGAAGATGAAAATACTAACTTGAGACCAGCTTTTAAGTAAATGTATGCTGGCAGAAAGATGT